CTCCTCCTCTTCCTGTTATGAATCCTGCTGCTTCTCTCCTTCTGGCCCCTTCCAGATGTAGATGGTTCATAAAGTGCAGGCTCAGCCTTAGTTTCTTACCCATTCCTTCTTGTGGGCTGCCATTTCTATATGGATGACCCTCAAGATCTGAAACTCTCCAGCCAAGACCTGATTTCTTCTCTGAGCTCCAGTCCTTTATCTCCAGGGCCTTCCATGCTGCCCAAACAACCTGGTAGAAATGTACTTGTACCCCAATGAAAATCAGCTCCTCCCCCCAGACTATAATTTACAAGACCATTTTCATTACAAAGCCATTTCTCCACTCATACTTCCTAAGTGTCACAAATATAAAAATTACCCTCTGTGTTTGAGCCTCTTCTTTTGGTGGTGAAACATTTTCTCCAAGATGTTTGTGGCCCACGGCTGCAGTGTATGTCCAAGAGTTCAGGGACCCATTTTACCAAAAGCTCCTTGAGTCTCCCAGAGCCCTTCTGCAGAGGGAAAGGTGCAGACTGTTTGCATGGGCAAGAACCTGGCAAGGCATGTCCCATAAATGCCAAGTTATTGTGCTGGGGTGAAAGGAGGGGAAGGATGTTAGGAAGGAAATAGAATCTTATTGTCCATGGCAGTTGGCAAAATGAATGCCCATTACAAAGGCACCTTGGCTCTGATTCAGTGTGTGGTTCTCTACATATTGAGAGTCTGGAAAGCATATGAAAGGGAATTACTCATGTTTTTCCATCTGTACACATGTGTTCCACTGGTGTTAAATTCTTTTTGTAAGAGTCTCTCGTTCCATAATGTACACACAGAAAAATATTCCCACCACTTTTTAAAAAAATTATATTATTGAAACCAGCTGAATAAATTCATAGAGTATTGTAGCAGGACAAGTGAAACGTAAACCCACATTCTCTTGGGTTGTGAATGCCTTTAACACATATACTACTTAATGTGAAATTTAGTCCATGACCAATATTGTGTTTTCATGTCATTGTTTTCAAGGGTGAAACATGCATGTCCAGAGAGGGGGAGTTTACTCTAAATTCGGAAATGTAAAAATAAGTACAGAGCCCTCTTCTCACGTGAGAGGACACAGATAGAGAGATCAGTTTGAGGAAAGTAGCTGTCCTCTTGCTCTTGTAACCTATTTCCATCTTGAAAAGTACCCTACATTATCTTGCTTCAGAAATGAGAAAGTTACCCAAGCAGAGGACTCTTGCAGTGCCACCATTCAGACCTTCAGGGCACTTCATCAGGTCACGAGTGCAGCTGGAACAAGGTTTATTACTCACTTTTGCTTCATCAACAAGCCATGAACCACCTTGGTGAGGGTTAATTGAAAACACTACTCAAAACACCACTCAACTCTGGCTGTAAACAGGATGGCCTGCATTGAGGCTTTTAAAATTCAAGTACTCATTCAACAAGTATTTATTGAGCACCAACTGTGCAACAAACAATAGGTCTTGTCTGTACATATTGAATATATCAATGTAAAAAAGTAGAAAGGTCCCATCCCTGTTTGCCAGAATCTACTGTGCTTTGTGTTTAGTCAAATCAGCACTTAGCCCCCACATAGCTCTCTGCACAAGGTGCAGAGGGAAGAGGCTGCTGGAGTATCAAAGGTGTGCAAGGATGATCTCAGCCACCCAAGAAGTAGCATTCTAGCTGTAGTTGTCAGATTTAGGGTGAGCACTCAGTCTGCCTTCCAACAGCAGTATTCCTTCTGTGCGACTCTTCTGAGGATGGAAGAGGCAGCAGAGGCCTTCCACGGGACTCTTTCCACTTCCTTCATCCTTCCTGGTTTCATAGGTATTGCCTGTACCTCAAATCCTACCTCGTGGTATCTATTATTCATTTTTTCTACCATCACCATTAAAGCTGCTTCCAGCATAATTTGACTCTTCTTATTAGACTTTGGGATACTGTTCAGTTTCTGACTGGAATTTAAGTATAACATCACCATTTTTCTGTTCTATCTGTCCTATACCTATACTGCCAACTAGAAGGGACTCTGTCCATCCTTTGCATAACATTTATTTATACATATTTTCACTAATTTTTTTTTTAAATATTGAATTCCAAGCATACCCAGGTGTTTTGTGGAGGCACAGGAGACAGAGATGCCCTCGTGGACTACATAGGAACTGAAGAAAGATGGAAAAATGGACTGGTTGTTACATGTCACGTCTTGACACAGAAAGAGCGCATCCATCCCAACTAGACAGAGCCTTGAGGCATACGGAGATATTAGTCAAGCAGGAGCTGGGTTGGGAGAAAATATAAACATGTATGATGAGCCACGTTTTCACTGGACAGATAGTGACAACCAGTAAGGGACACAGTATCATTCTGAGCTCACACACAACCCTGCTCACTCTTTCCTCCTCATTAAGACACCATCAGTTACCTGGGAGACAGTAAGATAGAAAAAAGAGAAGGGGCAGAGGATAGACAAGTGGGAACAGAGAGCTGAATAGTATGTACTCCCTTACCAGCACCCCAAAAAAGGAAAATCATATGTAAAAGCCATGCTCCTCCCTCACCCATTCACCCACAGTTTCAACCCAGAAGTCCTCCTGTCACTTGCTGCCTGTTTATCCACACCATGGCAATTTGATCCTTCTTCAAAGGGAAAGAGAACCTATGCTCTCCTTCTCAGCTTCCTTTCAAAATGTAGAACTCAAATCATAAAGGAGGGTCCTAAGCTGGTATCCGTTTTTCAGAAAACCTTCAGACAACAAACCATGTCTGCAGTAAGGCTGAAAAACTCACTGGAGGCCAATTTTCTGTACTTCCACTGGAATGATAAAGAAAATGATTATTCTGGAACTCTGATGGAGACTAGAGTGTTGATTAGCCATTTCTTGTATGTTTCTGGTTTAGTTTTAAATTGGGAAACATTATTCTTTACCTAATCAATGAAATTTGGTAGGAAATATTTCACCACATTATATAGAAAGGATGGAAAATGAAGAAAATGGGATTCTGTGGTTCTAGCCAAGGAGACCCTGGAGGGCAGAATGTGCAAAGAGTACTGAACTGTTGTACTCTACCTACAGGATGTGCCTGGCCCCAGGAGAAAGGCTTCAACCTTGTGATGCTGATACTGGGGATATGCTTTCTCTGAGACTGAGTTCTCCCAGAACATATATCCAGTGGCAGTCACCCTGGACCACTCTCCCAGTACAACATACAGCCATAACTCAGGGGTAGAGGTGCTGCTGCATGGAGTGTAGCACTGAAAGAATAAAGTCTTCCTTTATCTGCCATTCCTCCTTGTTCCACTGCTGGCATAACAGAAACAAAGGTAAGAGTAGGAGTTGGTTTCCCTAAACTCACTATTGCTGGCACCGTTAGATTTATTTCCAAAGGTGTGACAGGTGCTTTCTCCTGGTAGTCTCAGCAAAATACTTTTATTTAGAAAGAGGTAGCTCAGGCACCCCTTCCTGAAGGCTGCCCTTCATCAGAGGCTAGGGACAAGAAAATGAAGCCTCTGCAAAAAAAGCTACATAGAACAGACTCTGCTGCAGGCAGGACAGGAAAGAAGAGAATGACTCTTTGCTCCAGGTGTGCTTTCTCCTTGTTACTATAGCTTGCTCAGAATGCACAGTGCAGCTGGCACTCTGTCTTCACTTTTAAAATAAAGGAGTGTTGTTGTGATTGACACTTGCAAACTGACCCTGGGGTTAATACAGAGCAAAGTGTTCCCTCTTGGGAAAGCTATTAACTCTTTCAGATTTTCAGTCAGTGGTATGTAATTCCCTGTGTAGGAGTCAGAACAAAGCTGGGAGGAATTCACTCATCATATAAAGGTCAGAAAGACAAACTGACCAGCTGGATATCAGGTATGTAATTCATGACAGATTTATAGTAGTAAATTAACCAATATAAAACTTATGGTGAAGCTAAAACACACATAGCAACACCAAGTCTCTCTAAATACCATTACTACGTTGACGACTCTTGGGAAGTAACCCAAGTGGGAATTGCTCAACCGTTTTTCCACATCCCCACACTAACTTGCACTGTGGTAGCCTATCTCCACTCAGTGGGTTTTATGTGCTTCGTTTCCCTCCTTGGTTGTCTCCCGCAGGAGATCCAGTGAGGGTCACATGGCACTGGCACTAGCGACTCTGATCAGGACCCCTCAGTCCCTTCACTCAGATGATAATGTGAAGCACCAGGATGCTCAGCAGGTGAAGGAGTCTAAGACACCTTGCCAAGGCTAGTGGTTCCAAAATATGACCCAAGGACTATCCGTCTTCCCAGTGCTTATCAGAAATGTAGGCTCTGGGGTCTATTACAAAATCACTACATCAGAAAGGAGGCAGAGAGAACCACTGATGGGGAATGAAGCCTGCAGAGAGCTCTACCATTGAACTAAATCCCTAACCCCTTAATATAATCTCTGACTAGGCATAGACAAATATATTTTATGATATTTAAATAATATTCATCCACTCATCCTATCAGTTTTTACTTAGAGCTTTGTAACACTAGACACTATAATGGGATTAATAAAAGTAAAGTATCTTCCACATGCTGACTAATTACTTTCATGTATTTACTGCTTTAATCCTTCAATTGAAAGGTCACTACTGCTATGTTCCTTCAATAAGGAGAAAACCAAAGCATGGAGAGGGCAAGAACCCAAAACCCATGAACTTAACTTCTATGTTAAACAACCTCCTCAAACTTAGAAAAGAATGATATTCCTCATTGCTACAACCCTTCCACCCCCAACCCCAAGAGTTCTCAGCCTAGACAGGAATCCAGACTTTACATCTATCCACACATCATTACATTGTGACTTCTTAATTGCTGTAATAATTATGTGAACAGAATTCTGGGAGAAATTAAAGAGGAAATTGGTAGCTGTCAAAGGTGTCAAGAAAGGCTTCCAAAGAAATCCACAACTCCATGAGAACAAGGATTCTCTGGCTTCTTTGAGCAGAGTGGCTTACAAATGCTGCATGCAAAAAATGTGTTGAATGAGTGAGGATTTTTACCTCTGTTGATATTGAAGGATGAGATTTTTGTGCACACAACCTGGAGGGGTAAATGGTTAAAAATAGCTTATTCTGGGAACAGAAATACAGCATGACTAGGAAAAGCTTGCCAGGAAGGGGATGGTGGGAGCGAAGCGAGAGGGAGAAAAAAGAGATATGAAAGGTCTCGTGCGCCATGCCAAAGAATGCAGATTAGTCCTCTGGGAAGCCTTCTGTAGGCAAGGGAGTAACATTATCAGATTTCTTCAGTGGGAAGACACCTCTGGAGCCTAGTTTTGAAGTGGATTATGGTGGAGGAGGAAGTTCAGCTAGGAGGACTGCAGTAGTAAGGAGGAGAAGTTTAGAAAGTCTGAGCTATTCGCAGGGGGAATGGGAGGAGAAAAGGAGAACCCTGTTAGACACTTAATTTGAGGCAAGGGGAGGCAGGATCCAATGAACAAGCAAATAGAGTATCCGGATGAGACTTGAGATTTTCAAACACAAATGATGATGCGATTAAACTGAAAGTAGGAATCTTAAGGAGAAAGTTAAATGGCTGAGCTTTAAACATCTCAGCTTTGAATGATCTACCAGCCCTTCCAAGGAAGATAAATTCCCCAACAGCATTTACATGACAAAGGAGCGAGGTTTTGATTTAGAACATGGTGTTCGGTATTACAGTCAGGGTAGGAGTGGAGGCCATGTTGGAGGGGAGCACAGAACGTCCTTCAGGAAGAGTGTGTAAAGGGACTGGGGAGAAGACTAAAAAAGTGTTCCTAACACCTAGATTTTAGAGGGTGAGCCCTCAGTATGGCAGAATAAGATCTGTCATTTCAAATTATGCTGGGCTAATGACCGATCACCTTGTTTTATACAGAAGAATTTTAGAAAAGATGAAACAATTTTTCAAAACCTCAGGGCAGTTCATTGCACCCCAGGTTGAAAGCTAGAACAGATAGTGCTTATCCTGCCCCTGTGAAAATATATATGAGCCTTCTCCCCCAAAGAATGGAGAGTCCAAGGATGCCAAATTCTCCTCAGAAGCTTTAGCAATGCATGTGTGACCTTAACGCTTCTTTGGTGGCAAGTTAGTGAACTTCAGCACACAGTAGTTACACTCAGATGGGAGCTCTTTCTTCCAGTTTCCTCTGTATAAAGGGTCAACTTGCAGGCTAGGTCTGTCACACTTGGAGCAGAGTAGAAGATGAAAAACTATTTAGGTAAAATAACCACTCTATTTTGAGATTAACTAAACAAAACATGATCACACTTATCCTTCATCTAAATTCAACTGGCTGTTTGCTTTAAAACTGACTCCCTCAGTTCAGCCCTGAGTATTCAAGTTAGTATGTTTTCAAAGCCTGAATGGGAGTTTCCCTGGGGCTCCCCAGGGAATTCACAATTTGAGGTGACAGTGAGATGCAGCCTTCAATGAGAATTGTGGGAAGTATTTTATGTAGGGCAGTCCTTATGTCTGTTAGTCTGTCATGAAGATGACTATGTCCACATAGTCTTGGGTTATGCATGATGTGTGTCAGCACAAATATCTTGCTTGAGGCAGAACAACAAAAACAGTCATAAATACTAATGCCAAATAAAATATACAGGGGAAAATGTTCAACCTCAACTGATGTCAAAAATATATAAATACAAACAACAGTATGATACTATTTTCTTCCTTTCGATTTGGTAAAGCTGTTTTTAAAATTATAACAATCCGAGTCGCCTCAGGAAGTCAGGAAATGAGATCTCATACACTGCTGAGAATGTAATTATGTACAACCTCAGAGGACAAACTGTCAATATATATGAAACCCTTAAATATTCATAATCTTTGATCAAGGTATTCTCTTTTAGAATTTAACCTAAAGAAGCTATCAAAGAACTATACCCCAAATAGGGAAATGTAGGGTTTTTAATCTTATTTATTTATTTTTTTGAGACAGGGTCTCACTGTGTAGTTCAGGCTGGCCTTGAACTTACTTACGTAGCCAAAGTTGGCATCACACTAGCCGCAATCCTCCTGCCTCAGCCTCCCAAGTGGTGGGATAACTGGTGTGTGCCATCACACTTGGATGGTAATTTTTATAGTATATGAATTATTTCTCAATAATGTTTTCTATGAAAAAGCAGAGGTAGGCAAAAAACATAAATATATTACAGTATTATTTATACAAATGAAAAAGGGAAAAGCATAATGTCTATCATAGGCCACCCATGCTCAGTAGAATGTAGCCTTATCCTTAAAGT